ACTTGCATTGAAGAGAGGAGCCACCAAAGTTGACTTCCAGGATTATAACAGCACTGTGATAGAGCAGTTAACAGTGCCAAATGTCTTTCTCAATTGTGAAGAAGATGATGAGAACAAAGATAAACATAGCAGCCCACCGTCTAAGAGAAAAGCCCCCCTGAATGCATCAGAGAAGTTACTAGATCGTTGTGGTTTCTTCTCAGGCGACTGGAATTCTTTTCTCAGACTTATGCAAAATAAAACCCCATTGCTGAAATATGACATTATCTTTACATCAGAAACCATATACAACACAGACTACTACTCTTCACTTCATAATGTGTTTTGTGACCTGCTTGATGAGAATGGTATTGTTTATTTGGCAACCAAATCTCACTATTTTGGAGTAGGAGGTGGCCTTCATCTGTTTGAGAAGTTTGTGGAGCAGAATAATGTCTTTCAAATCAGATATTTGAAGGATGTGGAACAAGGCCTGAAGAGACATGTTGTATCATTGACATTCAAAAAAGTGACATTCAAATTTTAATTATAAGTATTAATGTGCCTGTGCTATTATGGTGCAAGTTAACATAAGATAATGGATGCTCATTTCTTTTAGGCCAGAAGGATTGACTATGGGATCCTAAATTGTGCTTGGTGTAAGCAACTAATGTTAAAACAGCAAGTGCACAAGCACTGAAACAGGAGTTTGGTGAAACAACAGATTTGTTAGTTAAAGTCAATGTTCAATCTGCAATAAAGCCCAGCAAAACCATCATCAACAAGACAAGAATTGACATAAGTTTACATGTACTACCCTATATCTCTACAATTTATTAAACATGGTCACACGGGCCAACAGACAGACTCAACACTGGTTTAATGTGAAAGGAAATGTACTTGAAGATGCCACACTGACAACACTTGACCAAACATTCTTCAAAAAGTGGAGACAAAGTAAATTCTGGAATGAATTGCATAAAAACAAATCCAAACAAAAATGTGTGGTCCCTGTAAACTGTTTAACTAATAAATACTCACAACAATTCCAAAATTCTAATATTTCAAATTGGTTACATATAGGTCCTATACTTTTTTTTACTTGTATATACTTCTTCTATAGAGCTCTGTCTCGTTGATGTTAAATATGGGAGTCTTGTTTAAAGTAATTCAGTGCTGATGTATAATTAAAAAGTATATACTCTATTTCTTGGCTTTCCCCTGTGCTGCCACAGCCTCCATGGCTTTGCGAACAGTTTCCTCGTCTCCGAGGAACTGCATAGGCTTGATGGGCTTCAGGTTCTTGTCCAGCTCGTAAAGAATAGGGATACCTGTGGGCAGATTCAGCTCCATGATGGCCTCCTCAGACATACCTGTGAGTGAGGAAACAAACTATGAGACTATTAAAGAAATGAAATTAAATCATTTGTGGTGACCCCACAAGCCATTTTTATTTTTATATGATCCATTTTAATTTTAAAGTTTGAGTAACTAACTTTTGTGTTTTTGGCTTTTGTATTAATTTTATTTCAATGTCTAAATAGTTATTCATTTATTCAGTTTTAATTTTAGTTACTCTAGTACATCAAGTTTAATTATATGAAAATGAGAAATGCCTTGGTAACTAGCAACTTTTGACTTCATACCAACTTTAAATCATTTTATGGAGAGAAGCTCAAAAAAAAAAAGAGCAATTTCTCACTGATTAAAAACTATATATATATATATATATATATATATAAGATCTTATTAATTTCCATGACTTTTCCAAACCTGGCAATCATATTTCAAGTATTTCAATGATGGTGGGAACCTTCAATAAGAGATTGAAATAATACTGTGGGATAATTACCTTCTAAGTGTTTCACAATGCCTCTCAAACTGTTTCCATGAGCAGCAATCAACACTCTCTTTCCCACCTTCAATAAGAGATTGAAATAATACTGTGGGATAATTACCTTCTAAGTGTTTCACAATGCCTCTCAAACTGTTTCCATGAGCAGCAATCAACACTTTCTTTCCCTCCTTGATTTGAGGCACAATCTCCTCATTCCAGAAAGGTAGAGCCCGTGCAATTGTGTCCTTCAGACTCTCACAAGAAGGCAGCTGGTCCTCGGTCAAATCAGCATAACGTCTGTCCTATAGGAAGACAAGACATCCCGCAAGATATAAAATTGGTGCATTAATCAAACATCACTATGTAATAGTGCTGCTCTTTTAGGCTAATAGAAATTCTTGACTTGTTTGTTTGTTCTAGGTCATAGGAAAACCAGAGTGCTTGAATGTTATCAACATTTGTAAGCAGTTTCCTATACAAATAAGGTTTGACCTTTGATTTCTGACTCTTTGCACTGATTAACTACTAGGGACGTCAATTTCAATGTGTAACATCAACATGACAAATTGCAACATGTGAGTTTGAAAATCAAGTTTTCAGTTACGAGTTGGGATAATGCATGTTATAAAGACTTATGAACTGTGATTTTCGTTGTACGGGATGCAAGAATGCAGATAATAAAAAAAGTTGATAGGCATGCTGTCACTGGGCAATATCATCCATTCAGAAAGCTCAAAACTGAACACACCCTCTAGAGTAGCAGCTATCAGACACCATGTGCATTTATACACTTACAAGTTATTGTTTCTTATATACTGTATTTTGAGTAATCTATGGAATCTGAGGGAAGTGACTAATTTTAATGACATACATCTAAAATATACATATGAATGCAACAGATTAGGTGCTTAAAGTACCATAATGAATAAAAGATGCTGAAGACCCCACCTTACTGATGATGCTGTAAAAGTCATGATCTGCATCCATAGTTGGTGGAGGGATGTCATAGGAGCGCCTCCAAATCTTAACCTGGGCTTCACCGTGCTTGGCCGCAGTCTCGGCCTTGTTTAACCCAGTCAGACCACCATAATGGCGTTCGTTCAGGTGCCAGGTCCTGTGCACAGGCAGCCACATCTGATCAATACTGTCCAAAACAATCCATAATGTCCGGATGGCCCTCTTCAGCACCGAGGTATAACAAATGTCAAACTCAAACCCTGCATCTGCAAAGACACAATATAGACTGAATATGAAACACGGAATTCAACATAATACAACTTAATATATTGTGATCATCATTTATTTTTCTTATTAAAATATTATTTAATAAACATTTAATACAGCATAGCCCTAATACGGAATTAAAAACTATATAAATGAATATTACAATAATTTTTTTTTTTTTAATTATATAATATTAATTGTAGATAATATTTTTGTATTTAGAACATAAATCGCCCTCATTCCGTCAGTAAAAGGCAAACCGCCAGCTTATTGGTTCAGAGCGTACACGCGTCATGTCGGAGGCGGGACTGTGCCGGGGATGGCGCACAGTCTTCTGAAAGTCATTAGAATTTTCCGGTTTGATTTTTCTCATTTAAAACACATATATTAATGCAAACATTAATAAGACAAAGCGGGCTAAGTGATACCCAATTTATACATAATGTACATGTTCTTTCAAAAACGAATCTAGATCTAATCTTCTGATATACTTAAGACGGCAGATTTACAACGCTCATTCACAATGCTGGAAAATATAATACTATACAAACCTTTTAAAGCTTGACCGCCTTTCTTTGCCTCGTGAACCCCTGTCTCGCTCAGGTCCGCGTCGAACCAGCCACAAAAGCGATTCTCCTGGTTCCAGCAGCTCTCGCCATGGCGAATGAGAACCAGCTTGTATGCAGCCATCTGAGATATTCACAGAGACAAACACTAAAAAGGTAGCAGCTGAAGACAGCACGGTGAGCTCTGCGCTCTGGTCGAAAAGGTTGTTAAGCTCTGTAAAGCGTACTGTCAAAAAGACCCTCCTTCTCATATGAGTCCGTAATGAATGACGTTCCGACCTCCCCATCTCAACGTTCAACCAATCAAAGCCTCAGAACGATGCGCAATCAAGTGAAACTGCAAACACGGCATGGGGAAAAAAACGTGACCTTCCTGTAACGCCTCTGCATATTTTATATAAAGCGTACTGTCAAAAAGACCCTCCTTCTCATCTGAGTCCGTAATGAATGACGTTCCGACCTCCCCATCTCAACGTTCAACCAATCAAAGCCTCAGAACGATGCGCAATCAAGTGAAACTGCAAACACGGCATGGGGAAAAAAACGTGACCTTCCTGTAACGCCTCTGCATATTTTATATTAAACCTCCTGTAGCATTTTGGGGTTTCAAAATATTTTAGCAAGAATAAGAAGGAGTATAATACATTTCATCGTTCACAGTTCATCGACCCTACCAGAGATATGCATTACACTGAGGGAGGATTAGTAACTTCCCGTTAGAGGTCATTGGGTGTATCTTGGAGATGAGGTTCTGGAGAGCCAATCATAAGTTACTTATGTAGGTATGGGCGGGGTTTAGTGCGGATGTTTCTGAAGCCTGAACTGAGCGTGTTTTTTTTTTTTTTTTATTGCATTGCTAAGAACATACACAATCAATGCCAGGGGTAAATACAATTGAGGTACAAATGCAGGTTACAAAATCAGGAAAATATCGTACAAATGACACAATGAGACAGTTTTAAGGGCTTTGGAGAGTTGCTGGATGTAGATGTAAGGTATGGAGGACGAAACCTGCAAAAACAATAAATAAATAAATACACAAATAAATAAATAAATGTGTGCATAAATACACGCATTCTTGTTTAAATACATAAATAAATAATTATACATGTGATGAAAATAGGCAAATAAATAATATAAATTGGTGGGCAAATGGAAAATGTTTAAGGAAATGCTAAACTCATCCTATTTATTTTCCTTTAATCACTCATTTATTTCTGAATGTAGTT